GTTCCCAGGCACAGCTATTCCCTATCTTCTGGAATGTTTAGGGATGCACCAGTTTTCTCCGCTTATCTCCAGAGCATTGCTTTCACCCCCCTTCCTCCATTCCAGTCCATCACATCGTGCTCCTTACCTGGTACTCCCTCTGCTTAACAGCCCGCAATTCTCGGTTAATGCCAGCAACCAGGAGTGCTGGGATTGTGGTCGCTAGGCGATGTGGTCACTTGTTGTTGTTTAGTGGTTAAGTCGTGTCCGACTCTTCGTGACCCCATGAACCATATTGCGCCAGGCCTTCCTGTCCTTCACTGCCTCCCTGCGATGGAAATTCTGATCCCAGTTGTCATTAAGCGAGGACTACCTGTATAGACAAACATGAAAGTGAGTGGAGAAGATGGCATTAACCATAACCCTTTGGAGTCATATAGTTTCAATCCTCATGATTAAATCAGCTAGTACATGGATTGAAGATCTCCCATTCAAGGTTGAAGATTTCTTTAATGAAAAGACTGATAGTACTCTGCATAGAGTACAAAAGTTTAAAACCACTGTTATGTAGGTAGATTTATATCTCTATAAGCCGAATATTTAGTGATCATGCTTCTGCAATCCTGCTTATTCCAGAATGTAGCATCCTACCCAGAAATCACAGTAGCACTGCCAGACCACTCACATCCATAGATGACCCTTTCCAGTTGAGGGCCAGTCAGAGACCCAGCCAGGTAGTCATCAATCCCATAACCAATATCACCTTTGACTGTGACATTGCTTTGGAAACTGACTGTCCCAGTATTCCAACAAATATGTCGATATGCCCAAGGATTCCTGGATCCTAACTACCCCAGTAAATTCACCAAAATGTTCCCTCCAGTTCAGCCAGACATTCCACACAGCCTCATTCATTTAGAATATAAGGGGCTCTGGTATGGCCCTTTTATACTGCCAGCCCCTTTTGTTGCCCTTCTCTCGGATGCCTCCCATTCCAATTTGGGAGTCCATTATGAATGCCTATGAATTAGGTACCCTGTCAATATTCTGATTTACTTCAAGTTGCTAACAGCCTTAAAAACCCAATGTATATTTAAGAACAGGTTTATGATCAGGACAGTACAACTAACCTCAAACAATATAATTGTAGTCTGGTATAAAATAACATGAGACAAAATCACATACTCCTGAAATTCACCATCAGGATTTGGAACTAATACATCCAGTACCACATTTTCTTAGTACCGTTCTATCTCTTATGCCAAGAAAATACTCTTGCAGGTGTCCTCAGCTGCTCTTTCTCAGTGTCCTGTGAATGGCAGTTGAAGAGGTCATCTCATGGACTAATTCACTTGATAGTGCCAGCCTGTGGTTGATGTTTTTACTTTAAACACAGTCACCATTGCATGAAGTACTGCAGTAGAGGTGTTTATGACATACATTCTCTACCAAATGCATTTCTGTACAGGTGGGAGGGCAAGCTATTTTAACTGCCCCCATTTTTTCTCCTGTTTATATAGTGGTCAAAACTGATTGAAGATTATCCCCATTCTTGCACAGTGGCCATGCCAACACTGATTTACTTCCATAGTAGGTCTGTCCCAACATCATTACTAGCATCTCCCAGTTATTCCCAATCTCTTATCAGAGCCAAAGGCAAAATTTGTTATCCAGACCTCACCACATTCAACCTCTGTGCCAGGAAAATCTAATGGCATTGAGATAAAATTGAACAAATGTTAATTGAGGCCAGAAGGCCATCCATGCAGAAAGTTTATAATTATACATGGAAACAGTTCTTATTTGCTGTGGCATTAATATGATTTTTCATTCTTCATCTCCATAAGCATAAAGAGAATCTTCTCTCATGATTATTAGGACTCACACTATGAGAATGGTGGTAAACTACTTTTTCGTGCACCAGTTAACAAGTTTTCTGTTTTTGCGCATCCTGCAGTTAAGCATTTTCTTAAGGGTTTGCTTTACAAATACCCAACTGTTAGACAGCCAGTGCTTTCATGGGGCTCATTTCTAGTACTTTCTGTGCCAATTAAAAAGCCCCTCAGTTTTGAGTCAGACCTATTGACTTGGAAGACTGCATTCCAAGTGGCCATAACTTCCAGCAGGAAACCAAGAGAGTTTGCAACAATCAGATCTAGTTTTCCCCATTTAAAGGGACAAGGTTACTCTTCTTAACCATCCTTCTCACCCATGATTTCTTTTTTTTTGAATGAGGAGTTTATACTTCTGACACTCTTCCCTAAGTCATTTATTATTTTGGATCAGGCCTTGCACACCCCAAATGTCTTTTGTTTGTAGGGACCGATTTATATTCTGTGAGGGGCCTCACAAAGACCAGTTTTATTCCAAAGACTCTCTAAGTGGATAGTTAATGACATTTCCTTATGTTGCCAGCTAGCATGTGTATCCTGTCCTGAAAATATGCAAAGGCTTGCCATTAAGAGGTGTATATCCATTTGGTTGCAGTTCTTAGTCACATTACCTGCAGGAAATCTGTATAGCAGCAACGTGGGTCAAAGTAGTTATGTTTATTAAATGTTACCAGTTGGATATACAATCCAGAAACAATGCAGTGGTCCCTTGCTTCTTGATTTCATCATAACCTGAAACCACTTCCAAAGTAATAACCTTGTTATTCATTCGTATAGATGATACACAGGGATTGTGATGAAGAAGAGTTGGTTACTTACCTATAATTCCTGTCTTCAAATGGTCATCTGTGAACTGCCTCCCTCGTTCCCCCCCCCCAATTCAGGTGCTTTCTTATTTGTGGTTCCAGGAATCACCAGGTCAAAGGAACTGAGGGGTAAGCCATGTCCTTATGTATATTACATGGCAGCAGAAGTCCTGCCAAAACAGTCTCTTAAACTCTGTAGTTTTCCAAGGAAGGTATTGCACAGGTGCAAATACTATATATTCTATATATCTATATATTCACAGATGACCATTCAAAGGACTATAATTAAAGGTAAGAAACCAATTCTTAGATGACAAATTCAGGATTGCTTAATATTTAGTGATGATAAAAATTAGCAGATTTCAGAGACATGCAGTGTAAGTATTCAACAGGAGCCAAGAATACACTTACTGTCTAATTATTTTAACAATTAGTGGGTAAAAGTTATTTCAGTTTGTACAGTATGTAAGCACATATATTTTGGGTTGTCTGAAATATCGTGATGCTGGAGCACTGTAGCCAAAATTATGAAATATCTGCATTGTGTGGGACAGGATTAAAGTATCAAAGCAAGTCTCTAAATTGCATTGATTTCAGTATTTCTATTTAGTCTAAATTGCAGATTTCAGTATTTCTATTTAGCTCATTACATTACTATATCCAGTCCTGTTATCTCCCAAGAGCTCTATGTTTGTGGTTTTCCTCCCCACTTCCCCTCATATTATTAAAACAATCTAAGGAATTGATTAGTTTAAGAGATATCAACATTATTCAGTGAGTTACAAGAGTAAGGATTTAAGTATAAGGTCCCTGCTCATATTCTGAAACAATTGAATACGGTACATTTTTCTTAGAAAGATAACATTAAAAATATTGTTAAATATTTATTTTATGATCTTCTGAATTCACTTTTAAGTCCTCAGATGCAAATATCTTGGTTGGGTCAGCAGAAATTAGAAGATTTAAGTCGAAAGGACAGGACAGGAATGAACTACATGAAAGGAAGAAGTGGTGTGAGACATACAGTGTAAGTATTCAATAGGAGCCAAGAATACACTTAGTGTCTAATTATTTATTTTAGTGGATAAAAGTTATTCCAATTTGTACAGTATGTAAGCACATATATTTTTGGTTGTCTTCAATACTTTGATGCTGGAGCACTCTAGCCAAAATTATGAAATATCTGCATTGTGTGGGACAGGATTAAAGTATCAGAGCAAGTCTCTAAATTGCATTGAAAATAGAACTTTTAAGTAAGGGTGTGCACATAATGGAAAATGTGTTCTGAGTTCAAAACAAACTATTACATGTCACAGCCCAGACAAAAAAGCAAAACAAAACAAAGCAGTTTCAAGTGTTTCAAATGTGGAAAAAGTGGGATTAAGAATAAGCCTTTGGGGCTGCAAAAATCTGAACACTTCTAACTCTTGTCTGAAATTTGCAGTTCAGAATTTTATGAAGCCAGAGTAACCATTTCCCCTAAGAATATAGATATTATACTTAAAAGGCAAGTGAAGAAAGATGGGCTGGCTCTTTGTTTTTGATCTTTCAGATAAGTATAACTCTTTTAATCAATTACTTCCTCCACGATAGGAGGCCATTCTGGAGGAGAATAGCACTACCTCATCCACTTACATGGAGGAAAGAGCTCCTTCTCCAGCATTGGGTCCTCTGTCAGTTCATCCACCACAGTGCCAGCTGGTGGCACCACTGCTGCCTCAAGAGGAGCAGCATAATCAAGTCTCCTTCCCTTGACTAGCAAGTGCTGGCATTGACTAGCTATCTAATGAGTCTAGCTGTCTCAATCATGGCTTGTTCACTGGGGTTTTTATTGCATGTATATGTGAGGAAATATAGTTTTAATAAAGTGCTTACCTAGCTTTAAGCTGGGCAGTGTAAGAGGAGCAGGGAGCTTTAAAGTAAGCAGAAAAAGGCTCTACGTAATGTATGTGCGTGTATATGTAGCAACTTCAGTGCTACCAGGATATACTTCTGAAATTGCTTGAATGTATTCATTTCCTCAAGTAAGCAAGTAGGCCTTATATGATGAGAGGGCTTTGTATTTTTTTTAAGGGGGTCAAAAAGGGAGCTGATTTGAAAAGCAAGAAGATGGGAGAGATGGGAGAATCCTTGTCTCTTTCTGTCTAATTAAATCATCCAGCTCACACCACTGAGTCAAACTGAAACTAAAATAAATGAACAAACAAAATGGGATTGAGGCTGTAGAGGCTGCCCAGGCGGGCCAGCAGGCAGGCAACCAGATTCTTATCACTAGTCATTACTACTCCAGTCTAGCATAAAGTCCAATGGTCCCTCACAGCAGCTGGTTCTTCTGCAGCTGGTTCTCCAGTCAGTCCTTTTCTATCATCATTTTGCGAAGAATGGCTCCTTCTCTCTGCCATATGTTCTTTAAATGCCTACTGCTTTGTTCCAAAACTCTCCTCAGATCACCCCCTACTAAGCTTTAATAGTTGTCATGTGGTTGATTCCTTCTGCTATACTAACACTGACAGGATAATTCAAAAAATATCACCCGTCACAAGAGACAAGATTTCTAACCTCAGCAGCTAAAATGGAATAAAACACTCAAAACACTTACGTGCAGAACAACCACACTCCAGATCATGTCTAGAAGAAAACATCTGGAATATATACTGTATATTTTTTAAAAAATAGTTTTATTGATCCATTTTCAGACATACGTAAAATAATGTAAAATAAAAATAAACAATTTACCATACACAAAAACAAAAGGAAAGAATTTTACACAAGAAAATACATAAAAAGAACAAAAAACTAACTACAACTATATCCCAAGTTCATCTGATTTTGTAAATCTTTAAAAAGAAAAATTAAGCTTTCAGTGTTGACTAAGCCTGTTCAAATTTTTTTTCCCAAACAGAAAGATAATGTGACATTTTCTGATTAACCAAATATATTCTTTTCTAAAAAAAAATGCTAAATCACACATCTCTAAAATCCAATTCTTTATATCTGGAATTATAGTATTTTTCCATCTCCTAAGGATTATTCTTTTTGCTATTTTTAGAGCATGAAAACCCCATCTTTGTTCTGAACATGTTACATTTCAAGTAGTTGGAATATAATTTAATGTAATATACATGTCTTTAAATAGAGTTTTCTCAAAAGTGCTGTCCACATATTGTATAACATTACTGCAAAAAGGGTGTAAGGAAGAACATGACCATAACTGATCAGTTAAAATGCCCTCAAATTTCTTTCAACACCAACACAAATCATCATTAGTCCATTCTTTAAGAAACATTCTAGATGTTTCCAATAGATACAGTAAACAACCTTTTGATGAATTAATTTGTTTTAAATCACAGAAATAAACTTAGTATTCTTTAAAACTTAAATCTGTTGGTTGAAAAGAACTGGAGTTTCCAGTTCTTGATTCCAAGGTATATTGGTTATAGATATTTTAAACTATTCCTTTAGCTTTTAACAGAAAAAAAAGTAGGTTTGGATTCTGAGATTGAATTCTTCAGTAATAATAACATATCAGTTATTTTAGAAGCTGCTAAAGCATCAGGTCCATATTGAGCTGTCAAAATCTGTTTTAACTGTGTTTACCTCCATTTTTGTGTTAATGGAAAGAAAATTCTGTTTGCAATCGCTGAAAATATTTAAAGTAGTCATTAAATGTGCGTTATGATCAAGCATGGACCATCCAAAACCAGTTCTATGCACAGAAGAGTACATATGTAGAATGTTTTGTATAGCTCTACTTTTAATGATAAAACATCCTGAATACATATGGGAATTTCTAAGCACATTATTTTGTGCTCAAATAATGCTCCCACCTCTATAACAACTCTGTAAAGTGGATTGGACTGAGAGTGTGACTGCCCCAAAGTTATCCAACTGGTTTTCATTTATAAGGGAGGACTAGAACTCACAATCTCCCAGTTTCTAGTCTAAAGCCTTAACTGCTACACCAAAATTAGCTTATGGGAAGATTGTCAGTAACAAGCTTTCCAATATTGTCCTTCAATCAATATCTACTCATATATTTAAAAGTAATGAAGAGTATTATGTTCAATAGTTTGCCAGCAGAATAAACACAGCTGATGGATGAGCTTTCTGTTCCCCTTCTACACATCTTCCCATGCTAGATCTTTTCAGGAAGTCAAAGACCCTCTATAGCAGACTTGAAAACCAGCGTAGAAGGAAGGAGAGAAAGGAATTTCCCTTTGGAAATGGGCACAGTCTGTTATGTCAGACTTTATTATTCAACTTTATTATTGATATTTTTGTATTTCTTCTACCTCCCAACAAGGCGGGGTCTCATGGAGGATGATGCTGAGCCCATCTTTGAAGATGTAATGATGTCTTCCCGAGGTCAGTTAGAGGACATGAATGAAGAATTTGAAGATACCATGGTTATTGATCTGGTCAGTAATTTTATCACTACAATTTTCATGTTAAAAATGTGGCTACCAATGAAACTAAACAACTAAAGGTTATTTAAGCAATATTGATGTCAAGGTTTAACAGTTCCTAATCATCCTGCTGTAATGGGAAGTGGGTGAGAAATAATTATTGAAACAAATATTTTTAAGTATGGGCCTGCCAACTAATATATAGATAGGTTTCAAGAACTTCATGTTTTTATTTCAGCCCCGGAATCTCTAAAGCTTATAATATAAATCATGCTTTGGATTCTTGCAACTGCTTTCATCTTTTTTAGTTTAAAATAATTTGTATAAAGGATTTGTACAAATACAGATGTATATGCCCCAACTAAAATGACAAAGATTTTTTTTGCAGCCTCCTTCAAGGAACCGACGAGAACGAGCCGAATTGAGGCCTGATTTCTTTGATTCTGCAGCTATCATTGAAGACGATTCAGTAAGCTTTTGAACAATATTGATTGTAATTTAATGAATAATTTTCTAGAGCCTAACTTTATTCTCCATTATATTTTCTAGGGATTTGGAATGCCAATGTTCTAAAATCTGGTGAAGACATTATACAAATTTGGAACTCTGTTCTTTAGAGCTCAAGGCCTATATACTGTGATAGCTAATATGAAAACCACATTTTGATGTGACTTGGTTTGATTTTTAACCAAATGATTAAGGTCATTTCCTTTTTGTAATGACAGAGAAGAGGAGCTTCTGAATGAAACAAGAAATATTGGCCAATCAGTCAACTCAGAAAGGCTGACCTACAAATCATTTATTTTCTCTGTCCTTGACAGTCCTAATACAGGTTTTTTTTCTTGGATAGGGAGAAGCTTTTAAATTAAAAATATACAGTTCTACATATGTTTTCAGAAAACATTGAATGAAAACAAAACTTTTTAACTTTATTTTTCTGCTGTACAACTTCAAAATGTTTTAACATTTGCCTTTTTATGTTTTAGAAGCTAGCCATTTTTATTAAATTTATGCCTGTCAGCCATTGACCAGCAGTGATGCTAATCAGCAAGCCATCCTGGCTGGAGAAGTGTTGTTAAACACACTGAATATGACTAGCAGTATGGTACACATCTAGATCTACTCTGACCATTGAGAGCGGAGCACTCTTACAAAAGAGGTTAGAAATCAGATGTGTGCATCCCTGCCAAAAAGTCAGATTCTGAAAAGAAAAAAAAACCCAGATTTTATACTTCTGAGAAGATTTATTTTTATTTATAATAGGGCATAAGAATAAGAGATGTCCATGAAGCCACTTTTCCAACAGATGCTGTGTAACATTCATTTTATATAGCACTAGGGGAACACACAAACAGCACATTTTCTATTGGTACTTGTTCTGTGCATTTTTAGCAACTTATACCAGCAAATAAAATATTCTCAGTAAAATAAACCAGTGGTTCTACAGTAATCTATTTGCTGTTTCTACTACCTATTTCACTCCCCATCAGATCTGAGGTACAAAAGCAGCAACCTTTCTTATGGAGCATAAATCACAAAGGGAAAAAGGGTGGGGGTGCGGGTGGGACAGGAGTCACACTTACATTTTCAAAGCAATTTTAACTGTACCATAGAGAAGTGTCTAACTTTCCATGCCGTAAATATCCTTTTGTGCTATTTTTGTAAATTAATTTTGCCAGTTAGATTTACTGTATGTGCTGCATAGAAACTGTGCTTAGATGGTGACGTTCTTAAGCTTACAATGGAATACAGCTACATTCTCAGTGTTAACTGTGCATTATTAAGAGTAATTATTAAATGATCTTTAAGCAGAGCAATCCAAAAAGTAATAAGCTAAATCATTGTTCTAAGAAATTTTCCATGTCTTCAATGATCTGGACTTTCATTCTGCTTAAATATTACAATTCTTCCTGGTAGCTGCTAATGTAGTTAAAGGATTTTTTCTTTACTTGATGTGAGTGTAGCTCCAGTGGATAAGAACATCTGTTAAAATGAGGCCAAACTGATAATCTTCTCTTTTTTCCTTGTTTTTTTTTTTCGGGAGGGTTGGAATTTGAATGTTAGAACACTCAGAAGCAGATCTTAACTCATATTTGATACATCCACTATAGAGGTGCTTTATAGAACAACTCCAAAATGACTGTAGTATTCTCTCTTTTTAAAAGGTCCGTTAATGAATTTGAAGTGTATTTAATGCATATCTGTTGAAACTTAAAAACCTAAAATCAAATAATGCTACTTTCATTTAGCAGTTGGGACTTTTACCTCTAATATTTGTACTTGTCTCAAAATTGTGATTATCAAAAACATTTGATCCAATGATTCAGCCATTCCTTTAAGGTAGCTGTTTAGAAATTCTAAAGTTGCTAAAGTCACTGGGCTGGTGCTTCAGGACAAAGTGCAAGTTCTTTCGAAAAAGTGGTAAAAAATTAATGCAATAGCCCTTCAATTTGATGGGCAGAGTCATACTATTGTTGGTTTGAACCCAGTAAAGACAAATCTTGTGCCCCACCACCCTTCAGATGAAAAACTTAAATGTCATTGATCATTACAGAATTCTGTGAAACAAAAGCTGTTTGCAAGCAAGTTACCTCCAATGGGTTTCCAGTTCAGTTTGCAGTCAGTAGGGTTTTTTTAAAATGTGTCTCCTTGATTGGTTTTGCTAGTAATTCTGTAAATTGTACATTTACAACGAGGTTTTTTTTTCCTTTTGTACAATTTAAAACTGATGCTTCACTTTTCCTTTAATAAACTCCTCAAAATCATATGTGCAGTGGAGTCCTTTCCACAAAAGCATTTCAAACTAGTGCTTTCTCTTGGTTTGCTTTCCATTTTAAAAAAATCTTACAGTGAAGCTTGAAAAGTTGGATTCATTGTACTTATCATGATTGCTTATCTTCCTGCGTGCCCAACATTCTAGCAAAATATGACATTGAAGATATTTTTCTTTCTCAGTGAAAACAAAAAATGCTTATGGTCTCTCTGTATCACAGATGTGGGATTTGTGCATAGTATTGCTCCAGAACATTATTTAGCTCAGTTTTGACAGGAAGGCTGCCCTTATTAAAAACCAGGTCACATAGCAACATTGTAAGAAACCTCCTTTAGGTGATAGTTAAGCAGTTCATCATTCTAAGATCTTTTAAGTTACTTGGTTCATTCCCTTTGTTAGTGTTTTTGACTGACTGACTAGATTTTTATCCTGTCTTTAACTTTTGACTGCCCTCAGGGTTAGATTATAGCAATTGTTCTCCTCTGTTTGTTGGTGGACTTTAAGATGTCTCAAACTGGATAGAGTTTTCTAAGAGCACTCTGATGAAGAGTACAGAGGAGTGATTCTCATGCTCTTCATTATATTTTTGTTGATAGTGCCTAGGATTGCATTTCCTTTTTGAGGGGGGTGGGGGAGAGTTGCAGCAGTATCACATGGTTGGCTTATGTTCAGCTGGTGATCTGCCAATACACCTAGATATTCTTCATGCATACTGCTGCCCAGTATAATTCCTCTCCCCATCCTGTACTCGTGCCTTAATTGTTCAGCCTACATTGTATCTATCTAATGGTAGCACAGTCTAGTCCACTTCTTTAATAGTATGTGGCCTCTATGCCATTAAAAAAAAGTATCAGTTGCATCTTAGTCAACTGATTTTAGAATTGTCATTTAAACAGAAAGGATTTTTTTTTTATAAACGATAGTGTGTATGACTGAACAAAATTTGTTGCTCAGTGGAGCTTTTCTGTAGTGCTAATGCCACATCTTTCAAATCCTCGGGCAATGTTTTGCTCCGCTTTTTAATGTTTGAAGGTGATATTTTTAACACATACATTTGTATGATGTGGTAGTGAATTATGTGCTTCTAGAAGTGCCTCACCCTATCTCATGGCATAAAGACAAGATCATGTTACAACCAGATTCTTACTTTTGTACCCTAGTTGTGTACTAGTGTACCCTAGTTTTGGTTTCCATGTTAGCTAGGACATAGTTTTCTTTTTAAAACTCTTATCATTCCCACACAATCATCTTTTGATTGTTTGGATGTTAAAAAGTGTTTAGCCATCTGTGTTGACTGCATGAAATTGTTCTGTCTTACTCTTTATCATAATAGGCATCATTGTAGACTCCCTGGATTGTTGCTACTATTACATTGTCTTATCAGGATAGTTCCAAGAATCACCTAGTATTCATAGCTACTCCACTAGAGCAACAGTTATGTCAACTGCATTCATCAGGGGTATTCCCTATCCTGATACCTGCAAGATATATGCCATTTTGTGAACTAAAACCAACTAGATGTTCAGGCTAACTGCAAGGTTTAGGCATGCTGCCTTATTGCTCATTTTATCTTAATTATACCTCTCCTCTTTCTCACTCTATTTACTCCCCCATATCTGTGACGCACAGAAACCATGATGAAAATAATAAATTGCTTATCTATAACCTGGCTATCTTTACATTCATATGAACCACCAACCTTCCCAGCTCTAGGTTTCTGTTTCCCAGGGCCACAGTGATGATCCAGCAACTAAGAATTCAATGCGATCTAGCTTTTCAGGAAATTGACATCCTGCCAAAAGTTCCACAACATTGGTTTGCATACACACAAACCTCATACAGTACATATGAATTCATGGATGGCTATTCAGTAACTAGTTACAGATAAGCAATTTCTTATTTTTTTAAAATAAGATTTTCCCCTCCACCCATTCCTCACATGTTCAGGTAAGTCGCATTTCAAGGACTATGTGGAAGTGAAATCAAGTTGAAACTGTGATCTGTAATGTATCCAAACTCTTACAGATTCCAGGAGCTGGTATAGGATCGTGAGAGGTTCTGTTTTCACTGGAGGAGCAAACTTCTGGCTTTCATGGTGTAAGATTCACCTGTTTTTACAAAAGGGCTCCAGTATTCTGTAGATGCTCTTTAGCTCCTGCCCAGTCCTCCAGCTATGACATTCTACTGCCTTGTACAGGATTTTTGCTAAAATTGCAAATTCTATAAATTTATAGGAAAATTGCTTGAATGGTAGTAAATCATGCTGGTTGGGAATTCTAGGAGTTTTGTCCATATCTGGAGGATACTAGGTTGGAAAAGGAATCAGATATTCATTCTCAGTGCCAGCTATTGATTTAGAATATAAGAAACTACAAGAATTTATTTATAATTTGGTCTCTAGGAGAGAGAAGAACCTTATGGTGGTTAACTAGGTTCTCTCCTTGATATGACATGTTCAAACTGGACTATAAAAAGACTAATTATTTAGTCAATATAACTTTTACAAAGCTCAGCAAGAATAAACAATTTAAAGACTGTAAATGATGTTCTCAGCAGAAGGTAGATAACGGCTATTTTCTGTTGAACAAAGACTGCCTTTGTGGTTATTTTCTGATTGAGAATTTTGCTACATTATCTTCTATCTTCTCTGAACTATTTTCAATCCATGAGAAATATATTGAAATATGATGGGCAATCTCTCAGATCAGTTTGGATGAAGTAAAAATAGATTTTATCTGATTTTAGTGGTATGTCAGAGATAATGGTTCTGCACTAACTGCAGAAAAATTTGTTTAAATCATGTGGAAATGATAGTGTGTTTTAATTGTATTCTAATAGTATGTTAATGGATATAATGCCAAAAAGTGAACAAAAATCACAAATTTTGCAGAAGTGCAAATCAATGAGAATAAGTAGAAGTTGGATGGGAATTCTTGGTGTTTTAGTCCAACATATCTGGAAGTCGCCAGTATAGGGAAGGGTGAATAAACAAACCATAACATATTTATTTTGAGAAGGTGGTATATTACATTTTCTATGATTAACACCGTAAGTGCTGATTCAGGGCGGAAAGGCAGAATATGAATTGAATGAGGAAGTATACAATATGGACAGCCAAATGAGCAAAAAATTCAGACTTTCATACCATTTCTGCTGTCTCCCCTCATTATGTGAATATCTTCCAGCTGATTAAAAGTGGAACAATTTGTACTAGACTTCAGAGAGGCCTTGTGAGCTCTTATATCATTTCTGTAGCAGTCTTGTCCTACACACTAATAAGAGTGTTCACATGATATACTGAACCACAAATTAACCAAGCATACTTTAGCATGTGTGAACCTTGAAATCTGCTTTAAGTAAACAATGGCTAGGTGTATCATGAGAATATAGTCTTTGATATTTTGATGAATCACAGTTGATTCAGTAAGTCTTAGTCAAGTATTTTTAATATTTGGTGCAAAGTCTCTATTTTTTGTCCTGGAGTTGTAATTTTGATTTAGTTGCAATAACATTTTCTAACTGCATTAGCCTGAGTAATCCTGTTCTTTTAATATTGTGCTGGCATTACCAGCTGCTAATTTTATCTAAGATTAGTTTAATATATCTTGAATGAGACAGCTATACTGGCAGGTGGTTTAATTAATTATCCTGTGTTCATTAAAGCATCTGTGGTAAATACTAGTAACTTTTCAAATTCCAGAATGCATCCTTAATCTGCACAATATGCAGACATTTTAATAAAACACATTGCTGGCTTTTGGATAATTGCGTTCTGTTCTCAGCTATTTATTTGTGAGATTTATATTCCACTTGTCCTGGTGAGGATGTCATACAAGATAGCATACATACTGCTTCCTCCTCCTTTGTTTCCCCCTAACAAAGGGGAAAGGATGAACTGAAAGTGTGACTGGCCTAATCACCCAGTGAGCTGCTGTGTTTGAGAGTGGGCTAGAACCTGGATCTTCCGAGTATCAGTCCAACAGCTTAACCACTCCACCACATGGCTCAGTGCTGACATTAAAAAAAAAACAAAACTGCTTTAACAATGTCAGTTCCATAATATTTCCTATTCATTCATTTTTGCATAAGATTAATTACCCATTCCTTTCTTACATGCTTGTGTTTTAATTGGTCTCTAAATTCCGTCTCTGAACTACAATAGCAATGAATACAGTGATAAAATGGGCCTTAAAAATGCCTATAGTTATATGCATACTAAGGTGCTTTATACCACATAGAAGCAAAATTGTTGCACATCCATGCACATGTGGAAATGGCCAGGAACATCAAAATATCCACACAAGCCTTGGTTTAATAATTCAGAGAATTGCTTTTTTTACACTGTGTGTCACAAAACCTCTCTCTTTTGTATAGTCATAACGGATACCCATTTATATAACTCTCCTCTAAAATGTTTATAATGGAAATTTATTGTAATTTTTCTAACACTTAAAGAAGAGCCTTGGAAGAGATTCCCGTAACAGTTGTAACTATTTTTGTATGCAAAGCGTCTTCCTCAGTACTATTCTTTGTGAACTAGTTTTGTTACCTTAAGAGATTTTTTGTTCTATCCATTCTTGATCATAATTTTAACATCTGGGAGACTTTGGTGGCTTCCAGGGAGGCATCTCCACAGATAACTGGATGCGGCACCTTGTTTGTGAAATTGGGCCATCAGGATCAGATGAGTTTGCCACTTGTGTACCAGCCTCCCTGCTATGCAGAAGCTTCCCTGCCTGAACTGCTTGACTCTGTGGCAGGCTTGCTGGTGGTGTTCTTCAGGCTTATGGTTCTGGGGAACTTCAGCCTACCTTTGCTTTGCCTGGAGTTGGGGGAAGTTCAGGTTGTTGACTTTTAAATTGAAATCTGATTTATAGACATATTTGGAGGTTTATGTTGAGCAGCAGCATATGCCTTAAAAGCCTGTGATGAATGCTAGATCGGTGCTTTCTAATTCATATCCTGCTTTGCACGATTATTTTTTTCAGTCACCTTTAAAATAACTTTCCTTGGATATTTTGCTTGAAGAATTTGAAGTATTTTATTTCATAGTATAGCTTCTGTATCAGTATGTTATTTTAAATTTGTGGATGAATTTGTGTTCAGCTTTAATCATGTCAACTTAAATATGAACCTTTCTAATAGGCTAAAATCTTACAGAACTTCATTCCTTACAGATTTTTGTCCACTGAAAAATCCTAAAGTGTCATAGGATTTGAATCAATAAATATGGCAGGGGTGCACTGATTTTCTTAAGTTTTAGATTAATTTGAAGCAGATTCAGAGTGGAATGTTGGCATGCTTTTTCCAGGGGTTGGATTGTCTTTTGCTTGCCAGCACTTCCAAATCACGGCAGATGCGAAGTCGGGTAGTCGAAGGTTGAATGATGTCATCTACAAATCCTGTTAACACATTTCAGAATAGTTTATTTTAACTGCTGTTTTAAGTGTATATGCCTACAGACCTTTGAACTTAATCCTGCAAGAATCAATCCTCCCCAATTATAGACTAATAAATATAGAGAGTATCATAACTGGGAGGAGGGAGACAAAAAAGAGGTTGTTGAATTCCTCAGTTATTTGGTAGTCAATGCCATAGAGGAGCCATTTGATAAGAAACTTAATCTATTTTGTTGGTTTTAATGTGTCTGAAATTTTAGTTCTAGTCAAAATTAAATTACATATATAGGCATAGGACTCATAATTTCCTCCCTAACAGTACTGTAATTGGAGAATTACTTCCTGTAATTGGAAGAGAGATCCTTTAAACTATTCAATCTTTTTTTCTCCATATCTGAAGGAGCAATGCTGAAAATAGCTTTTTCTTCTTTATAGATGCAATGTCAACTTTTTCAAATCTCTAAGAACTGCATGAATCCTAATTCAATTTGGACTGTATCACTGAGATACATTTTACTGCACAGATCAGTTTAAGCAAACGAGTTGGAGTTAGGATTAGACTAAATCTGATGCATGTTCCTAGCTAGAACCATTATTCCTTATAAATGACTAATCGTTATGGTTCTTATGATCTATAAATACATTTTCTGAATCAAATTCCTGAATATCCTCTAGTCATATGGATTTTAGGAACGTCTATTGCTCTCCATATGCTGGCTAATTTATGTAGCCAAATATTGGAGCAGCATAAATATTCATTAACTGTTCCTAAATTCTGAAGAGTGCTATTCTTAGCATGCTTTAATGTTCTCGCTACAACAGTCCTTGAGGGTGGGTGTAAAAAAATCCCCTATGGACTACAATTATGCCCCTGTGAAGAAGGATCTATTGAATCCATAGCCCATGATGAAAAAATATTACATTTTTTTTAATAAGGTTCTGTCTTACAACTCCTTATTTAACAAGTACCTAGGCAACACTGCTTTAGTCTATATACAGCAGTTACTATCAGACTAGTATGTTTCAGGCTCTATGAATGTAGTCAAATTTTGCTATACTATTTGTAAAACCAGGACACACACTGACTGCATTGCCAGAACTAAACTGTAATTTGTTTCATATACTGTTAACTTGTTGAATTCTGGTCTGTAACTCTAATAAAGTAAAAAGTATTAATTATCTAAGAGATCTGCCTTTCCAGAGATTGGCAAAGCCTAGAGAAAGCATGAATTCAGTGAACAGTTGGAGGTACCCAGTGGTCTCCAGAGTCAAAACTCAAAAGCATACTGCAATATCAGCATTATTCAGCTTAAGCACAATGTTACTTGATAATCAGCAAAATAAAATTGAGATATGTATCACTCTGAAGCAGAGGATTTTTGGATCACAAATTGTTCTCTGCCGAAATAAGGCTGCCATGTCTCTTAAAGGCAGACAAAACTGGAGTTGGGCAAAAGCACAAAATATATCAGAAAATGGCTCTGGTAAAGGGATTAAAGTCCAGAGCCCTGTCCCCACATTGCTACAGACATCTGAAGCAGGAAAGCTTTCATGCACAGAAAGATTCACCACCCCAGTTGTAAGCAAGATTGTGTTGGTCGGGTAATAATGTTCTTTTCTATACACTGCCTCTTCATATGAATTCATATAATTCATAAATGGGGCCAATAGTTTACCCAGATCAAAATCATACTATTAAGTTTGTAGTAGTTACTTTTATATCAACCCTAGTTTCCTCAGTTTCTTCTTGGTGGTGATATTTGGAACCAACAAAATTAATACGCACTGTGAAAACATTGGCCAGGGTTACTTTCTTGAGGAAAAAATGCTGTTGGCATGTGGGATGATATATTTTTAACTGCCTAGTTCAGTAATTTTGATCAGGTCCTTTATGTACAAAGTAACTGCTTGAGTTTTAATTTCACTTTTAAAAACAATTGTTATGTCTAAGCAGGCACCAAAAGCAGTCTTTTCAGGATTTTTAACCCATCTCAACCCATCTGCTACATGCCCATACCTCTTCCCAATTTCCTCAAGTCTACTATGAAAGAGAAAGGTCATATAAACCTAAGCCATCACATATAGTGATTTCGAACTCTGTTGCATCATATATATGGAGAAGGGAGTGGATATTGCAGACATCCAACATCCTGTGACACATAGAATAACTCTAATCTAGGTCAATCCCAGAATGGAATACTGCTGGTAGTTAAATTCTCTGGGATTTCTGCATCCAGCTAAAATGCTCAAGGGATTCTTACAAAGCAAGGAGAAGCCATCACAAGCCTTCAGTAGAGGATTGTCAAACGATAAATATTAAGCTGAGAGAAGATAGCTGAAAAATAGCCAATATATAAATCAGATCTTATCCACTAAAGAAAAAGATGATCAATAAAATGTGAAAGCAAAAATCAACTTCAAGAATTTCAAATTTGCATTTGAAATTTTCAGTAAAAATTCTTAAAGATGCATACCTCTGATTGCAGCTGGAAATGGATTTGCAAACTTTTCTATGTATTCTGCTTCTGCATATGCCCCCTTTCCTCTAAAAATGATCTGAACAGCTCCCTAAGATAACACACAATAATGTGAAATTACTAAAAATTCAACTTGAAGTCTTCAGTGGGAACAATTAATTCACACATGCAAGCAAAGTGAGAAAGTTCCCCAAGTGGGGAAGGGAAGAAAGACAACTGATGCAATAGAAACTGCTGTAAGACTGCAGGAAAGCATATCTACCTTAGCGCCCATCACCGCTACCTCTGCTGTTGGCCAAGCGTAATTTGCATCTCCCCTCAGGTGCTTTGAACTCATGACATCATAGGCCCCACCATAAGCCTAGAACAAGAAATACAGTAACAGTCACACGCTACCATGATTCAACCCTTGTGTTTTATGTCAGGTACAAATATTATATAAATATATACAGTGGGGCAAAAAAGTATTTAGTCAGCCACTAATTGTGCAAGTTCTCCCACTT